ACATGCACTACACATATAGTCAACACACCATGAAACAGGCATGACCTGGTCCATCAGTACTAATAGAGGGGGGCCCTCAGCTGCTAATTAGCTCCCTTAACTCCCACTTTACTGGCAGGTCATGATTTCCCTCCTATAGCAGTCTCCCTCTCCATATCACTTTATCCCAATTGGTATCCTTACATTTTCTTTCTGGTTAGTTTCCCTTATCTGCAACCTTTATTTCTCCCAGCTTGTGTCTGTATTCTTTTCATACTATTTTCCACTTATTATTTTTTTCTGTCCTTTCTTTCCCCCTCCCCTTCCTCACAACCTCGACAGGTTTCATCCTTTTCATCAAGGTAAGGGTATCTGTTTGTCCTACCACAGTTTAAATACCCCTACATCATCCATCAGTATTCAAACAAGGGTAGATAAACAAGATTCCGGTAAAAAATTATTGTATATTTACCTTACCCTATAGAATTGTCAGTTTGTTTGTCTATAGGTCAGAGTCGGTGTAAAGGTATTGTGAGGATAGAGTAAGATGACTGGTGGTGATTTCATAGCAGTAAACCTGACCAATCCTTCAGTTTTATGGGACTTGTCTAGTCACATATCTTTCACAGTCAAGGCATCCTTGACCATAGAACCTGCTGATCTTTAAGATTAAAGAAATACACACAGAGACTATTCATAAGATGTTTTAAACATGTATCTGTCCTGGTACGCCCATATCAGTATTATTACACTGGTAATCCCAACTGACCTCTGACCTTTGATTTAGATTCTTACCTAGCTTTGACCTGACTTTACCCTGAATGCTGTGTATTTGTGTCCCACCCTAATAAGCCTCCTATATCCTGAATTATAGATACACCTGGGCTTCTCACCAAGAAAAGTGAACTCAAGTGTATTATCCCATATCATTTTCCTGATCAAAAAAGCATTTTCCCTTTTGTTTTGTATTTATTGATTCCTAATGACCATTTTGATAATGTATCTATTCTATGTTGGAATGTCCTACAACTTTAGGTTATAAATCTGGTTAGTCAAGTTGTGAGATCTCCAGCCCTCCCTGTCCCCAATACCATACAGTCCGCCTTTCCTTACCAACATCCCAATGGTCAACCCACTATACCAACCCATCAGCTCCCCACCCTACATTTAGCACTCACTAGCCCACCATCCCATGGTCAGCCTTCCCTAACCCCATCACCCACTATGAAATTAAGTTGTTGTATCGTGTTATGGTGATGTCTCTATTACTGTGAAAATTTGATAGAGAAAGTATGTTAAATACACCTGAAATGCCTTTTTCTTCACTTGATTACAATCTCAGTGAAGTATAAAAAGTCGGTTCATGATGATAGACCGAGGATTAACTGGTAAGTAAGTTGTCACAGTATAGACTCACCATCCAGTACGTTATGTATCAGTAAACCTGTCTGTAGTCTGTTCAAAGAAATATTCGAATTTGAAAAGTTCATTGTTGAAGGAATTACAAACTATATTTGTATAGGGTCTTTACAATGTGTTTTGTTTAAATGATCAGGACTGTTTCCGATCTGTTATTATGTTTAGATAAATGATTAAATGGGGTAAACGTTTATTCAACTTAGAATCACCAGACCGTGGCTAAAACGACAAAGACAGGTGTGTAGAAATTTTTCATGAATGAATGTGTAGGTTGTATACTTCGTGATGGACCAAGTGTAAAAGTACAGGCAAGTATGGGAAGCTGTTTACACCTTATCATAGACACGCTAATTAGATTATGAGGGTCAAATTAGTCCCTGTATGAACTTTATGAGGTCATCATGAATATTCATATCCAAATGTAAGAGGATGGACATATGGTAAGACATCCGACTACTCCTGTGAGTATTAGATTCTGTGGTTTTGTGACAGATACTTTAAAGTCTTGTCATAGTGTCACATTTCATGCTTTGTTACAGTAGGTAAGTACTATAGTATTGTGTCGAGAAGATTTACACATGTTACTACTACTAATTATGTTATTTTGTGAAACTTGTATAAGTTCTCTCTGTGACGATACAGGTGAAAACTTAGATCTACACAGATCTCTCTATAGAAAACCTAGGTAGGTATCACTATTGGATTGTAGATGCTATCCTCAGTATATTTTCTGTTTCTCAGGATGAGTTGATAAAGATGTTACATATTTCTATAGATTATGTGTTTGAGACAAGTTGTTACACATTCTATGTACTAATATAGAAGGTAGCACTTCTAGGCCACAACATCTTGAACAATGAGTTTTTTGTGCACCACAAAACTCTTAGGTATTTCTCACAAGGTAGACTAGCCAGGTAGATACACTATGTACCTCTCCAGCTAGCCAGGTAGGTATTTCTTTCCAGGTATAGGCTTGTCAGGAATGCTGGAGTCTGGATATTTGATATTTGTGTCATCGTTTTGCTGATTGTGTCTGTCATTCATTTCATAGTCTATTTTATCTTATTCTTACTCTACAGTTATCTGTCCCCATAACAAGTTTTTGTTCCCTATAACAGTTATCTCTCTTCTATAACAATTATCTCTCCCCTATAACAGTTATCTGCCCGCTATAATAGCTATCTGACCCCTATAACAGTTATCTCTCCTCTATAACAGTTATCTGTTCCCTATAACAGTCATCTGTCCTCTATAACGGTTATCTGTCCTCTATAACAGTTGTCTCTCCCCTATAACAGTTATCTGCCCCCTATAACATTTATCTGTCCCCTACAGCAGTTATATGTCCCTATAACAGTTGTCTCTCCCCTATAACAGTTATCTGTCCCCTATAACATTTATCTGTCCCCTACAGCACTTATATGTCCCTATAACAGTTATCTCTCCCCTATAACAGTTATCTGTCCTCTATAACAGTTATCTATCCCCTATAACAGTTTTCTGTCCTCTACAGTAGTTATCTCTCCCCTATAACAATTATCTATCCCCTACAGCAGTTATCTCTCCCCTACAGCAGTTATCTCTCCCCTATAACAGTTATCTGTCCCCTATAACATTTATCTGTCTCCTACAGCAGTTATATGTCCCTATAACAGTTTTCTCTCCCCTATAACAGTTATTTCTCCCTATAACAGTTTTCTGTCCCCTACGGTAGTTATCTCTCCGTTATAACAGTTTTCTCTCCCCTATAACAATTATCTGTCCCCTATAACAATTATCTGTCCCCTATAACAGTTATCTCTCCCCTATAACAATTATCTGTCCCCTATAACAGTTTTCTGTCCCCTACAGCAGTTATCTCTCCCCTATAACAGTTATCTCTCCTCTATAACAGTTTTCTGTCCCCTACAGCAGTTATCTCTCCTCTATAACAGTTTTCTGTTATAATAAAGAGATGACAGATGTTGATAAAGTCGCAGACAGGGATAAATCATGTAGATAACATCTGATAAAGATGTGATGCTGTCATCACTTTCCATCAGAGATATCACTGAATTGTTATGCTGCAAAACCCAGCAAGAAATTCGAGCAAATAAGCAGAGTGTGACATCATTTTTTTCTGATATATTAAAGGTCTATTGTGTGCGTATTATGTATTAAAGGTCTATTGTGTGATGAGGTTTTTAGTTTATGATATCAGTGAAGTATGATTTTAATATATAAAGTACTCAGCCTGCATTAAGATTGTTCCATCCGGCCCTGTAAGAGTACTGACTTCCTAGTGGATTCACATTACTGTGGGGACATGCTGAAACCTAGATGATAGTGTCCTACTTGACTATTATACGCCACTGGTCCATCTGATTCTATACTCAGTGTTATTGTGATCCTTGTAGCATTTACTAAAAAGCTGATCCAGTTACTCGTCAGTGAAATGAAAAATGGATCTTTGAAAAAAAATCAAAATTATTTGGTTTTTCAGAATGGCACAAGGGTTGTCTTTCCTAAATAAATTTTGTTCTTGTCACTCTTTAAGAAAATTTCACCACAGAAGGTTTCTGTCTGATCCTTTTCATTTTCAATACCCAGTAAATGTAAAGCATTCTTAAGATTTTTAATAAGATAGAAAGACTAGAGATTGTGGATCTAAAGAGAAAAAAATTAATTTATGTTTATGTTGAAATCTACTTCTCTAAAATGGCGTATTTAAATTCTTTATGTTCTGTAGTTTTATAGGTTCGGAAGATTCATAAGTGTGAATATTACAAACTCTTCCACTTAAAATTATTTACATATTACCCCAGTATTTCATATCAACCCTTTTTTTCTTTTAAATTGATATTTCTTGATACTGATATGTTTCAGTATCAAAGCATATTAGCAAATCAGGAGTATTTGTTTGAAATATGTCTATGAAAATGTTAAGAAAGGAAGTTTTATATTTCAAAGTTAGTCTAAAAGTGTCCAGCATTTCTTTTCAAATAAATTTGTGAGTATTTTCTGTAACAGTAGCTTGCAGTGTAGTATGGAATGTTTAAATGTCTGAAGCTTTCTACTTTGTAAGAGAGAGAGTCATTTGGTTGAATTTTCTATCCTTAGCCTGAATGCATTATGTACTTTGTTAACACTAGTATTGCTGTTTCTGCTGACAAAATGTGTCCTATCTTCCTGTTCTGATTCAGCAGCCTGATAATATTAAACAGACAGCACAGAATATTGCAGGGAATTAGGAATTATTCATGAAGGTTGCAGATTAGGTTGAAATGATTGACAAATTTATCACATGATTTTGGGCTTTCTGCTGGAGTTTGTCTGGCTTTCATAACAGAATAAGGCCTGGGTACTGATTGGTGCATTTAAGCTTTTACATATTGATGAGATTGCATTAAAACTAGTTTTCAGACGGTAAATGCTCCTGAACTTTTGATATATAAATTTATCAATTAATTAGTTGCTTATACAATAATTTCAGTTTAACATATAAAAACGGTTAGGTTACTATCAAATCGGAAAAATGATCTGCTTTTTGTTTTCATTGCACTGTTGTTGTGTATTACATAATACTAGTGTTATATGGTAATTTCTCAATTTCTCTTGTTTAGGTCTCACAAAGCAACGGAACACATAATAATGAAACAGATGTGTTGACAGGATTCAGCTCCCCATCCAACAATATAAACCCACTGTACGACCTTATTAACACAGACTTGGAGCCTGACGTAACACCTGCCAGTGATAGCAGTGTTGCACCTTCATCAAACCCATTGTACGAAATGTCTACAGATTACGAGGAAACACAGAAGCCCGACATGGCTTCCTCCGATAATCCAATGTATGGATATTTATCTAGTGAGGAAAATACAAATGGATCCCCTTCTGAGGATTTAATGGGAACCAGTGCCACGGTAACTAGTGATGATTCTGGAGTTACCATGGAAACTGCCCAAACCAGTGAGGAGGAGTTAATAATGGTAAGTGGTGAAAAGTCGGTGGTAGAAAATGGTGAAAAAAATTGTGAAAATGTAAATGTTGTCAATGGTGACACTTCCTCTTATCAGGAGGAAGTGGTGTGTGATCAAGGGGAGATAATAGAGAATGACGTTCTGGAGGAGGTTACTCCTCAAGAGGATGTAGCAACTTTACAAAGTGTTGGCCAGGAGGCTCCAGAAGAAGGTGTAGGTAATAGTGCTGAATCTTCAGGAGAACTGGAAGAAAAGCCTCTTAATGAAGAGCAAGGAGAGGAAATTGTGGAAGAGATATCTATGGATGCCTTCATGCAGAGTTCTCAAACTGAGGCTGGTGAACAAGAACCAGAGGAAGATCGCAATCAGGTGGAAGAGGTAGATATTCCAGAGAAAGAAGATCAAGTCATTGAACCTGTGCAGACTGAAGTAATAGAAACCCAACCAGAACTGGTTCAGACTGAGGAACCTCAAGTACCAGAGCCTGTTTCTGAACCAGAAGTTTGCCTTGAACCAGAACCAGTTGAAAATGAGCCTGAACAAGAGGAAAGATATATAGAGGAGGAAGTCATTCAAGGAGTACAGGAGGATGTTCTTAATGTGGCACCACAAGTTCAGGAAGAAGAGGAGACAACACAAATTCAAGAGGAGGAACGGCAACCACAACCTCAGGAGGAAGAGGTACCACAAATTACGGAGGAGGAAGTGGCACCACAACCTCAGGAGGAAGAGGTACCACAAATTATGGAGGAGGAAGTGCCACCACAACCTCAGGAGGAAGAAGTAGCACCACAACCTCAGGAGGAAGAGGTACCACAATTTACAGAGGAGGAAGTAGCACCACAACCTCAGGAGGAAGAGGTAACACAAATTACAGAGGAGGAAGTGGCACCACAACCTCAGGAGGAAGAAGTAGCACCACAACCTCAGGAGGAAGAAGTAGCCCCACAACCTGAACAGGAGGAAATGGCACCACAGGAAGTTCAAAGTGTGACAGAGGACCAACAGGAAATTGACCAGGTAATTCAGCATGTATGCATGTATAGTAATACTGTAACATTGTATATACTCCACAGCAGCATGATCCCACATACATTGTGTCTTATATACAGGCAGGTAGTTTGTTCACTTTCAGGGGATGTGATTCAGGTGGCACAGAAATTTAATACATGTACTTTAATAGTCAACACAACTGATAACAATATTGCCTTAACTAGACACACTTTGAATGGTAATAAAATTTTGATACCGGATATATAGAATTTTAGGAGGGTTGATGAGATTTGGAGAGGTGGTTGGGGTGTTTGGTTGGCTATGGGGTGTTAGGACTGGGGTGGAGCTATATAGGGTTGTGTGTTGTAGGGTGGTTGTGGGGTGGTTGGTTGGCTATGGGGTGATAGAACAGGGGGTGGAGCTTGATAGGGTTGTGTGCTGTTGGGGTGGTTGTGGGGTGTTGGGTTTACTATGGGATGATAGAACAGGGGGTGTAGCTTTATAGAGTTGTGTGCTGTAGGGGTGGTTGTAGGGTGTCAGGATACAGCCATGATAAATGAAATGTAAAATCTTTCAGACAAGTTGATTTTGGGAGGATGTTTATCAATGTGGCATTCAGAATTTATGTCAATATTAACAAACTTTAAAACTTTTGTGAATTCCAACAAGATTAAATGGAAATGAAATAGATGTTGCATTCAAGTTGGTTTCTACAATTTGTGTTGAAATACAGTAACAATACAACATCTGTACTAACTTACCCGTCAAAAAGAATCATGCTTGGTATCAGTCTGAGCTAGAATGGGTGCAAGTACCTATAACTGTGATTGTGATGGCTGTATGGAACTCCACAACCTTTAAGATACAGAATAAAACAGACTACTTCCTGCAGACAAATCGATTGGAACACCTGATGAACTGGACAGTGATACCGGCTATTATGTCAATGATAATCTGGGCTATTTTTAGCCAACAACATACCAAACATGACGATCGCATCTGCATGACATACAAGTGTGTTATACACATAATTACAGGTACAATACCTGTACAGGTAGGTACATCAGCTGATGTGGACTGATATACTGTGATCTTACTGATACAGTGTTTTACCTGGATTTTATTAACCTTAGAAGGGGCGGGCCAAGTTGAATGTGAAACATTGACTCTGCTGTATAACCCATCTAAAGGCATGATGTTGAGTGTAACAGGATTAACCTGTCTTTGATTGGATTATCCTGGATAAAGAGATAGTAATTCCAGTTTCTGTGGATGCACCAGGAGTAGAAAGTATCTGTACATGTCAACCAGACTAGTACCAATGATGTGTGTATACCTATATTGATGGAGGTATCATGTTAAACAGATACAGATTAGATTCCATAGTTTGTTGATAAGAAAACCCTGTATATACCAATAGTATAAATCTTTTGATGTTGAAATGCAGTTTGGATATTTTATGTACATCATGGGCACAATCAGAATTAAATCAGTTGAATATACTTCCAAATACACATGTGGGTGTTACCTGTCAAACCTACTGAACTTTCTCCTTGTCATACAGATATCTTACCCCATCCTACTAAACTATCTCCCTGTGGACCAGATGTTTTTCTCTCATCCTACTGAGCTTTTTCCCTGTCAACAGACATAATTTTCTCTCACCTCTCTAAACAATTTCACTGTCCTGTAGAATTTCCTGTTCATTCTGACTTTGTCATAAGGAACTCTGCATGGTACCTGTATGATAAATTAGCTACAAACACTTGAGTTGTTTAATGAGATTTTAATGAGGAATAAATGAGGACCAAGTTTGATAGATTTAAGTGGACTCAATTTTAGGAGTTGATTACCTGTGGTTAGTTACTCTAGCTGGAGGTCATTACTTAGTGACCTATGTGGCCAAGACAATATAAAGACAAGGATATAAGTAGATGTGGGTCAGTTCTAGAATAAATCATACAGGCAACCTAGATTTCCTTTTAAAACATGGACTATGGTTATCTGTACAAGGGTCATCTCTTGGCTGGACATCTGATGGAAAGATCAACACATATTCATTCTTCACATACATTTACTGTTTCTCACATTTTTATCTGATGGTGTCCTGTCTATATATCTAATATCCAATATCTAATATATCTAATATGACTTTCATGCCTTCAGAAAAAGTGTGATCTGTTAACAGTGGGGTTTTGGATTTGGTCATCAAGAAGCTTCTTGTTACAAATGGTGCTACCTATCTATGCATCTATGCTATAAAATCAAGAAAACATCTAACCTAAGTTATTTCCCTAGGTAATTAAAGGTTAACTTGAATAGGGAAAATGATGTGGTTTGAGATTCGGGACACGATCTTTATAGTTGGCACACATGGCACTATTTTACCAAAACAGCTGAACATTTTAACATAATTTGACTTCCTTGTTAAGTGTAGGTACACCCGCATGTCAACAGGATGTACCTAGATTTAAACTATGAACCCTGACAAAAGATTGCTATAATTACTTCTCCTTGCAGTAATTATCAGCTGAAAGATTTGTTTACATCAGAAGACATACTTCAGTAATGTGTTTTTACTTCTATCAATTATTGTGGTTATTTGCTGTAGATAAGATATTAGCTTGTTTGGTCGTTAGTTGTTGTGTTGATACTAATGTATTGGACAGGTAAAACCTTGTTGGTGTCATCTACAGGTATATAATAACAGTCAAGTAGGGCCAGGTGATTGTTGTGTTGCCTGTGACAGGGGTTAGGTACTCGGATTCCAGACACCAGTGGTATGTGACAGGGGATCACACTGAAAAGTCTGGTAACGGACATCCCACAGGTTGTCAATGATGGTCAAGTCAAAACTACATAAAATTGACATACCAGTTATACTGATCCATAGTGATGTCGTCTTCTATCTCAGACTTAATGTTAATAAGTAAAACAAATGAGGAATCACAGGGTGTTGGTTCATGTTGTTTGGTGTATATAGATATATGAGTCTGTTTTTCTATTTTTTATTTATATAATAACAAGTATGAAGAATGCCTGCCTGAATAGAATTCTGTCCACATCTTGTGTGTGATATATATGATCTATGGTCAATGATTCCAATGGTCTGATGTCAGAGGTTTTTATTGGATCTTTTCAAAGTCTTTCAAGATTTTGTCAGGGCCAGTCAGATTTGTAAGGGCTAGTAAAGATTTTGTCAGGGATAGTAAAATATTTTGTCAGGGCCAGTCATATTTTATCAGGGCTAGTGAAAGTGTTTGATAGAATGAAAGTATTGGTTTTGCATTCAGCATTGTTTAAAATCTGTTACTCAAGGGCATATATATTCTAACTACTAATTATAGATTTGAAATATAAAACAGTAGTGTGATGTAACATGTAATTACTCTACTTGACAGGTTTTATTCTTGTCTTGACAGGAACATTCATGTAATATACTTTGAAACCTTTCACTTTAAAGAAACTACACATATTCAAAGTCAAGTATTTTTGTAGCCATCCTTGTTAGGCTTTAGGGACTGTTAAGGAAGTGCTTCGGGCAATTTGTTAATCAAAGGGAAGTAACTCCTATTTGTGTAAACTTCCTGAAAGATAACTCAGTTTTGACCTTGACATTCAGTAAAATATGTGCAGGACAAAAAAGCACTTCCTGAACTTTGATCGAATTTGGTGTTTTACATAATAATAATAGTACCACTCTCTAGTACATAATATAACACAAAATATCTATGACATTACTTTTTATGAAGCAGTCACAGGGCTATGCATTAAGACTATCATGTTATAATTTATAGGTGTATTGTGTTACCTGTCAAGTTTTACCTGTGGTAAATGTCCTAGGTCTCCTTAGATAGAAGGGATGATGACCTGGTACTGATGAAGTACAGTATTAACAACAAACCAAGCAAAACAAAAATTCATTGATTGATCATGCACATCAGAGCTCAATAGTAATTTGTATATATCAATCACTTTGCATGGTTACAAAATTTGGATAGGTGATGAAAATTAAGATGATAGACTTGCTAACATTCAAAAGCTTATTATGCAGCTGTCATTTTATCTCAACAATTAGGATGTATATTTTGTCAAATTAGTCACATTATACTTGTAGGTAAACAAGTGATTTTATCACACTGTCAAGCAGTTTTTTTTATATGGGAATCAGATTCAACAATGTTTATATTTTGTCAAACCTCAAAACATTTACTTCATAAAAAATAGTATGTCTGATAAAGTTATAGAGATGTGTACACAGACATGTGAAACAATAAAGTCTTCAAACGCTTGGTTGACCAAGAATTCCAACATTCTGTTCAGGTGTATGTTACAATTACTGATACCATCATGAAGTTAACTGCTTCATGATTACTTAAAGAAGTCAACCACAAGGTACAGATTTGTGAAAGAGCTATTAGGTAAATATATAACATTAGGGATTCATTTGCATAACATGCATGTAATTCCAATTTTGAATTATGTTTTTAAATTTACCTATGTCAAATTTTTGTGGTTAAAATTTTGTATTTTGTAAGCAGGAAATAACTTTATTATTGAGAGGTAATAATAACCACAACAAACTCTAGAATTACCAATTGGTTGAAACTTTACTAGTCTTCTTATTTCGACCCTATTGCCGGGTTTTCATCAGCAAGGAATCTACAGGACAACAACAAATGGACAGGGTGCTGATGAAAACCCTGCAATAGGACTGAAGTAAGTAGATTAGTATGTTGTAGTTGTTATTCCCTCTCTATAATAAGTTTATTTTCTTTAACTGCTCTACATACCTCTGAAGTATCCATATTCAGTGCAAGGTTTGACACCAAGAAAACACTCCAATATCCATCTGATGTTGGCCCTCCTTAGATCAAGGAAATAACTTGATATTTTTTATTGTGTGTTTTGAATTCTGAAAATATATTGCATTATCATTTCCTCATTACACTGTATGAGTCAGAGTAGGTTGTCCCCCTCTCTCTGTAAAAGCCTTTTAATTAGGACAAATTTTACCTTGGTAAATA